CCGGTGGGACTGACCGTTAACTTTCTTCGAATGCTACCTTACACTGCCCGAACTCCATCATCCTCATCAGGTCTGCAGCTTCATAAGTAGCCTTCATTCTCTTTATCATCTTCCTTCGCTTTCTCTTGGGATAAAAAGATGTCTTTCTTTTAAAGTATTAAGGTTGGCCTGCTGATGGCGGCTAAGTCTCGGGTGGCGCTTAAGTTGAGTGCAGACGAAAAGGGTAAACAGAGCCTCATCTTTGACAGCGAACGAGTTATTCAATCATATATTCAAGCGCCTTTTCCCCAGTAAGGCCGTCCTTGTTGTACTTGTCATGCATGAAATGAGCTTATATATACTTCAAGGTGTTGATGCAGATAGCGGCTTTTAGATGCAGTATGTACATGGTAAGCTATACTTCTCTAGTATACATAGTAGCTTTGAGGATGGTGTAGTAAATCAAGTAAGCCGGAACGAACAGGGTTTTTGAGGAAAAATAGTGCACTCCCCTGTATGTATAGCATTCCTACAACATATAATGAGGCTCTATAATCTTCATGAAGCGCTCTGGCTATCATTTCGTACTCCGAGTGGAGAGAAAGACGCAGGATACTTGAAGAATTAGTCACGGAGGTAGAAGCTCGGATATCTCGGAACTACTGATTTCTAAGCTCTCTATAATGCCGTCTACAAAGACTTTGTAGGTAAATTTTCGCGTAGGTGGAAAACGTTGGATAATAACCCAACAGTTATCATAACTTCATGCCGTTAAATGTTTGCTGTTTGTGAAAGTCCAACAGAGACTATTTTTACACCAGTGGCAATATGTGACTTCGTGATAAGATTTCAGTAGTATGATTGTAATTCAGTGTCAGATGGCAAGCTGATGGCATCGAAAAAAAAAATTCCCGTGGTAAATCAGGTAGGGGAGAAGCTATGATAGGGATTCTATATTTATATCTATGCTATAGTTCTGGCAGTGAAGTGTGACTGTGTAAGGATATGAATATACTTGGAACCCCGTAGAAACTCTAAACATAATGATAGTCCTCCTATACTCAGTTACCCGTGTAGAAGATAGAGGCTCTAGAGGCAGAATTCCCCTTCACGACGTTAGAAAGCATAGTCTCGTAGTGTTCACTCTAATGTTGTCTCTGCTGCGAGTCAGTATAAATATCCTCCTGCCAAGATCGTGGACCAAAAAAGTTAAGTTAGAGTATTAATCATCACTGAGCCACAAAATACTATAGTCATGTGATATTTCCATTTCATTGGCCAATTATACGACGCCAAAACCGAAACTCCCGGCGGTGGTTCTTTATCTCTTGAAAATTTTTCTATAACACTTACATAATCAAAGTTCTGTTCCTCGGACCGTTTTGCCCAGCGACTGCTGGTTTTCTCGGTAGAGGTAGCTTCATGTGTGTATCATGCATAAATTGTCGGTGTGCAAACCTTGGTATCTCTATGCGAACTGCTACAGTAAAAGTAGTTCTACGACAAGATGGGCTCGACTAATGTGTGCAAAGTATATGGAAGATGGACTAAGCGCGAGCGTTGAGACTCGGGGTGACTCGAAACCTTGGTGTTTTCATCGCTAGGAACAGGACTGTGCACGCTTGTCAAGATAATAATCCCGCCGTCTGACCTGTCTACCGGACACTATCTTATCTATTGCTAAACTGTTCCTCTTCTCGGTGCTCTGCTCAAGAGATGCACTGTCAAGACAGGTAGGTATTCCGTACTGGAGCTGCCTCCTCAACGTCTTCCCCTGAAAAAAAAGGGGCTCAACCTATATTTTGCCCAAGATAAACGGAACCACGTGACACGCGAGCCATGGATGGAGAGCACCCGCGTCCGTCTACCAAACAGAACAAGGCCGTTGTTGATGCAGCAGCCCATGCACGAGCACTCGACTTGTAGTACCTCCAGCACCTCGACAGAAGAGTAGAAGCGTAGAAGAGTAGTAGCAGGACGGCCAAAGGACAGCAAAAGGAGAATAAAAGGAGAGCAAAGAGAGAGTCAAGGGGAGGCCTTAGTCAGCTTGTTTACTGGGGAGAAAAAGCGTCCAAACCGGATTGGGAACTAGCGCGCACACGTCGATCCGTCGAACGAGCGAAAGTCGCAGGGGGGAAGAAGAAAGCGCTCGACTTTCTCTTTTCTTCCTCTTCTTCAACATCTCCGTCTTCACAACAAGACTTTTTTGTCAACACACACACACACAATCTCTCTCCCTCTTCTCCCTTTCTCTTTTCCCTACCCAGTCATCATCACCATCCTACAGTCACCATGAGAGGCGAGGTATGTGGACTGCTCGTTTGTTGTTGACAGCAACCCCTGACCCCCCCAAGCTCCCAAACACAGACCAACTTCTGGCTGCCCAAGCCGAGTCCACAGCCCTCCCGTTACGAGACTGCCACCAGACGTCTCTCTGCCTGCTTCAGCTTCATGCTAACTGTCTGCTGTCTCGTCAATTAGGTCTGCCATATTCACATCGGCCAGGCTGGCACCCAGCTCGGTAACAGCGCTTGGGAATTGTAGGTTCACCGCCTTTCATCCCCCCTCCCGATTAGGAAATTGGGCAGAAAAAAAAGAAGAAACGACTTCAACTCGACTCAACAGAGAGAGAGAGAGAGAGAGCAGAGGATGATAGAGAGGCAGCATAGCATAGACAGGATGAATGAGGCTGACGAGAGACGCGTGCAGGTACCTCCTCGAGCACGGTTTGAAGGCAGATGGCCGTCTCGACCCCGAGGCCACTGATATTGGCGAGCCAGGCTCCTTCGAGACCTTCTTTACCGAGACTAGAGACAACAAATATGTCCCTCGCTCCATCTTCGTCGACCTTGACCCATCTGTACGTACTTGGCGTTGGCACTATGCCATTGGATTCTTGACTGACCGGATTTACAGCCAATTGATGAGATCCGAACTGGTCCTTACCGCCAGCTCTTCCACCCTGAGCTGTTGATCAGCGGAAAGGAGGATGCTGCTAACAACTGTACGTAACGAACACGCCAATCCCTCAGCTGAACTGACTGCTAACTGGAATTAGACGCCCGTGGTCACTACACCATCGGAAAGGAGCTCGTCGACAATGTCATTGACCGCATTCGTCGTGTTGCTGGTGAGATTTAGCCCCTCCCTCGCATGTGATTGGTCCGTGCTAAACAGTGCATTACAACACTTGTAGACAACTGCTCTGCTCTCCAGGGCTTCTTGATCTTCCACTCTTTCGGTGGTGGTACTGGTTCTGGTTTCGGTGCTCTCCTCCTTGAGCGTCTCTCCACCGACTACGGCAAGAAGTCCAAGCTGGAATTCGCTGTCTACCCAGCTCCACGTGTCTCTACCGCCGTTGTTGAGCCATACAACGCCGTTCTCTCCACCCACAGCACTATTGAGAACTCTGACTGTACTTTCTTGGTCGACAACGAGGCCGTCTACGACATCTGCCACCGTAACCTCGACATCCCCCGTCCAGGATACGAGCACCTTAACCGTTTGATCGCTCAGGTTGTCAGCTCTATCACCTCCTCTCTGCGATTCGATGGTGCTCTCAATGTCGATCTCAACGAATTCCAGACCAACTTGGTCCCATACCCACGTATCCACTACCCGTTGATCAGCTACGCTCCTGTTGTCTCCAGCAACCGAAGTGCCCACGAGTCTTTCAAGGTCCATGACCTTACCTTGCAATGTATGTCTATTTCTTCTATTTGTCCACTCATTTCTCAACAACGCTGACACGTAAATACAGGCTTTGAGCCAAACAACCAGATGGTTGTCTGTGACCCACGCAACGGAAAGTACATGGCCGTTGCCCTCCTGTACCGTGGTGATGTCGTTCCACGCGACTGCACTGCTGCCGTTGCTGCTCTCAAGTCCAAGGCCTCCTTCAACCTCGTTGAATGGTGCCCAACTGGATTCAAGCTCGGAATCAACTACCAGAAGCCAATGCGTGTCCCTGGTTGGCGAGCTCGCCCCCGTCGACCGCTCCCTCAGCATGCTTTCCAACACCACCGCCATTGCCGAGGCCTGGAACCGTCTCGACCACAAGTTCGACCTCATGTACTCCAAGCGTGCTTTCGTCCACTGGTACGTTGGTGAAGGTATGGAGGAAGGTGAATTCTCTGAGGCCCGTGAGGATCTCGCTGCTTTGGAGAAGGATTACGAGGAAGTTGCCAGCGACAGCTTGGATACTGAGGGTGATGAGGGTGTTGAGTACTAGATACTCCTTTTCAGTCTCTCCCTCAACCTTTTCCTCTCTTTCTTCCCGGACCCTTTTGACTTTTTAAAAAACCAAAATAATTAGGAGAATGGAGAATTGATATCCCACCCTACTACTACTTGCTTTTATGCTGCGTCAATATCCCCATATCCTTGATTTTAATTTTGTCAATTACCACTATACCTTTTGCACCTTTTAGCTCTCAGCACGCAGATCACACCTATGCGGGCATTTTGACTGTCACGCATTCCTTCTTTTAGTATGCAGAGTATGCCATCAAGTGTTCTACCTCGAACACACTGAAAGGAACCGTCAACTAATAAATATACTTCATCTATACAACCTTTTCGACCATCTTTCTTCGGTCCCAAAATAAGTATTTGAGCATGTATGTTTACTATGATATTTGCAACTGGTAATCTTTGGCATGCAGAAACCCAAGCACTTAACCCGTGTTTCTATGCATGCCACCCAAAAACGCCAGCACCCAAGCCTTCTTGGGGCAACGAACAAAAGGAAAAACTATTGGTACAGTAGAACACCTATTTGGAATCCAGTTCCTTCAACACCGCCATTGCTCTCTCATACGTCCACATTGTCACCGCACTCGCAGGCGCAGCCTTGATCAAACTCACCGTCAACCCCCTATACAACCCCCTAACGCCCTGAGTTGCCACAATAGTCCGGATGGTGCTCACCACGCCATGATACTCAGGTATATTCACATGCACATATTTTGACCTCGTCGGCCCTTGAACTTGCAGCCGCTTCCTGACAAGATCCAACGGAAACACGCCCGTCTTCGCCAGAACGCTCGCAATCATACCGGCCGTAGCATCTCCTGACCCAAACGGTAAATCAACGGTGCTTAACGGCTTTCGCAGCGCTTCGTAGGCGACGAAAAACAGCCCCATGTACGGTACCACTTGAGCAACTGCCGCAGTAACACCACGGAAGAATCCACCAGCCCCTTCATAACAGTATATATCACGCACGGAAGATACAAGGGAACGGTATACTTTGTTGTTCCCTTGAGCTGCAAAGCGCGTTCGTAGCAGATCGAATGGGTATGTTGATGCCGTTGCTATGCCGCCTGCCGTCGCGCCGCTTATGAATGTTTCGACTGGGCCCGGGATTCGATGCTGAGGAGGTAGGAGGTGCAGTAACTGTGTGACGCTGCGGTAGGCAGTGAACTGGATTCCACCATAACAGATATAGAGGATTTCGGCCGGGATGTTCCCTTTCCAGAGACCCTTTGTATAGCTATTAGTATACTCCAAGCGCAAAAGTAAAACTGGCTGAGACATACAGTTATGCCTTCTTGCCGTGCTATGGCGAAGAGAGTCGAGACGGTCCCCTTGTATATCGGCCCCTTGACATCGCGATGTGATAGGGGATCAGATAGAGAGTGGATCTGCAGCTGTAGCCGTATCTTCACAACGTCCAGAGGTGCGATGCAGAATCTAGAATGGTATCCATTAGTTTGGCTCTCCTTTAAATTAATGGCATCGCGGGTGGAAAAACCTCGAAACAAGCCCGGCTATGGCTCCGGCGGCCACAACTTGAGTTCGATTTCCCTATTACAGAGCCCAATTAGTCCCATGAATGCTTGACGCGTTTTAGATGAAAAAAAAATGCAGCCCATAGCCTACCTCATCCTTTAAATGCTCACCACCCGCAGACATTCACCAGACAGCATCAAGAGAAGGGATCCAACTTAGGAGAAAAAGCTGAATTCGAGATCCAGCTGACTTGCAGTCCCAATATTCACATCAGATTGGTATACACAACAGGCAGAAACGAGTGTGAAATGCCCCGGACAACCTGGTAGAGACGAAAGTCCGCTCAGAACTTTTTGTTGAGCTAGAACTACCTAGTATTTACATCGATTTCGCTTATGTAAGGCAGTTTTTTAAAGCCGAGGCTTTCCTTTTTCTCCGTTTCTAAAAGAGGAACGTTTTGTGACTTCGGCACAACCACAACAATCCATAGAAATACACAACAACGACACTGAGTGACCATGTTTGTGGCCGGCTCCAGGGTATTGCGACTTGCCTGCAGGCCTAATATAGCTGCATTTTGCCAGCGACATGCTGTTTTAGAATCATACGCCCGTCCAGCGCTGGTTATATCACAATACTCGACAACATCGGAAGCTGTTGAAGCCGAAAAACCTGCATCCAATGCATCAACGCATAAAGGCGCAAAGCCGACATCAGCCGGTAATGGCTCTAAGATGGTTTCTCAAGATGCTAGTGCAGTTTCCGAGGTGACCCCTGATAAGGAGGGCCGGACGCCATCCAACAAGCGCCTCATTCGCTTCGTTGAAGCCATACCCAAGGAAAAGTCCAGGAGAAAAGCAGAAGGCATTTCTCCGCGTTTTATAGGCCCCTGGCGCCAAATGCACTCCCATATTCCAATCGATGTTAATGGAAAGAGAGTATATTTTGAGCCGTTGCATCTCCGGGATTCATGTACTTGTGTTCGCTGTGTTCACCCATCCACAAAGCAGCGTACTTTTGAAACTGCCCAGATACCAGAGAAGATTACCGCCAAAAGTGTAACTGCGGGTGAAGACTCAGTCACAATCGAGTGGGCAAGGGACATTAAAGGATTTGAGGGCCATACGTCCACTTTTTCTACGAGCTACCTCCAAAAGTTGACGTCGGTGCAAGTGGGTTCCAAGCCTGCAGACCCTGCCTACTACTGGGACAAGTCCGCATTCGAGAAAACCAGTCATTGGATCTCCTACGATGATTACATGAACAATGCTGATGCATTTAAATTAGCGATGATGCAGCTAAACCGATATGGTTTACTGTTCTTAAGGGGCGTACCGGAGGACACGGAAAGTGTTTCTAGAATTGCTACTCATATTGGGCCTATTAAAAACACATTCTACGGCTCAACTTGGGATGTTCGAAATATTCCAAACCCAAAGAACGTTGCGTACACAAATGTTGACCTTGGATTCCACATGGATTTACTATATCTTATCCAGCCGCCCGGCCTCCAGTTCCTCCACTGCATAAAAAATGAGCTACCGGGCGGTGAGTCTCTCTTTGCGGATAGCTTCTATGCGGCAAATGTTCTTCGAAAAACAAGCAAACCTCACTTCGATTTTCTTACCGAATCCTCGATGACTTTTGGATACGACAATGACAACCAGATGTACACGGCCACGCGGAAGATTATCAATATATCCGATAAAGATGAAGGCAGAATCGTAGATATTAACTATTCACCTCCATTCCAAGCACCATTTTGGAATACCAACAACGTTCCTAGAGATACATATACCCGTATTGGCAAGTCACTGAAGCAATTCAAGTATTTGCTAGAGAATAAGAAGAACATCTTTGAACTCAAGATGAAACCGGGCGAATGCGTTATATTCCAGAATCGACGGGTTGTCCATGCTAGACGTGCCTTTGGTAACGCAAATGCCACAACTGGCGGGGACCGATGGCTACGTGGCTGTTATATAGATAGTGATGTAGCTGTTTCTAAGTTCCGTACCTTGGGGATATACTAATAACATATACCTTAAGTGATTGGGAGTTACTCCATCTTCCTGTGAAGGAAGTGTATGATCTGTATATTTATGGAAATATCTTATATATTGGCTGTTACGGGTGAGATAGAGAAAAATCAGCCAACGCTTTTATCCAAGCTTATTTAAGATTTTACCATTATCTGAGGGTAGTGAATACGAATTCTGAGTACACTTTATGACGCGCATACAATTAACCTCGTGAAATGGATGGAGAATATTTGTCACATGTGTTCAGAAAAACTGGGGATATCTAAGTAGGTACTGCAGATCATGCCTTTGGAACCGAATAATCACAAAGGAAATCAGGGTTTGCTTCTATTTCTTCCTTGACCTGTAGAAAGAGCGCGATTGGTAAGTGAAAAATTCTATTGATGTTTAGAGAATAAGGGGGTCTTACAATGTCCAGGCCACCAACAAGCTCGCCCCTTACCCATAGCTGTGGGAATGTAGGCCAGTCCGCAAACTCCTTGAGACCTTGCCTTACGTCGTCATCGGCAAGAATATTGAAAAAGCCATATTTGACACTATTCTCCCGTAGAATAGCAACGAGTTGCCGGCTAAATCCACATTGTGGTGCACTTGGGGTACCCTTCATAAATAACATCACCGGAGCGGCTTTGACAAGCTCCCCAATTCTAGCAAACAGTTCCTCCCTCGAAGGAGACTCAGGGACATCACGACCACTAACTCCGTTTGTCCCTTGGCCTGCAGACGGCGGAGCCTGCGGACCCTGATCGTTCTGCTGTGTCTCGTCTATTGTTCTCGGAACGGCATCAAGTGCTGGAGGGATGGATTGTTTGTCTGTCGTACCGGCACCCGAAGGTGACTGGTAATGTTTCTCAACTGCTTCACGGACTTTAATCGGATTCGAACCAGAGATGCTTTCAATAATAGAATTATTCCGGCTTAGCACCACAAACGGAACGGCCGTTACTTCGTACTGCTCTGATATTTCGGGAAGTGCTTCTGCGTCGATACTGACGAAGGAGATGGATGGCGGGGTGGTGGGTGTGTATAGGGAGGCCAGTGTTTGAAGAACGGTACGCATCTGAGTGCAAGGAGCGGCCCATGGGGTATGGAAGAAGAGTACAAGGAGCGCTGATGGCTGCAGAGAGGCTATGTGAGCTCCAAAGCTCTCCTCTGAAGTGATTTCGTGAAGGTCCGACATGACGGTGTTTCGCCCCGCGTGCTGGTAACCTACGAGGTGGGATGGGAGTGGCAAGGCAGGCCGTTCGGTAGCTTTAGTTGTAAACAGGTAACCGTTTATGGTATTCAGCTCAGCTCTTCCGGACAACTTTTGTCGCTTAGAAAAAAAAAAAAAAAGAGTCAGAACTGATATCTGTTGCCTTGCTCGGCTTTGAAATAATTTAACACTTATGGAGGTTTATTTTATGGTTTCCAGGATTGCGTTATCTGATTTTTTTTGGTGGAAGTTAACCGGATAATATTTTAACCGAGGTTATCAGATCAAATTCCATCTGCTCATAGATACAACTTGCGCTGTTCAAATTCGATAAGGAAGAAAAGCATGGACGAGGTGGATGAAAGGAAGCAAAGGGGAGAGTGCTCGTAAATATTGAGACAGCGAAGGGGAAAGCATTTCAAGGCAGTAATTCATATTGGAGGTGCCTGGGTGACCAGAAACGACTGTCTACCATGTTGGAGGACCAAAGGTCTGCCCTTCTGCCAGAGGCTGTCGGATAGCTTCGCCCAAGTTATCCAACGTCTCCATGGAGCCGGTATTGCCCCACCATGATGGGAATTTGGAGCCAGTCAAGTTGATAGCGGCGATGACAACGATGGTCGAGATGGCCAGGCCGGCATCTAAAGACGCCGATGTGATATAGTTGAAACGCATCCACCAGCCTCTGAACCTATTGCGGATAAACTTCTGGAAAACAAAACCGACCATACACCATGCAAACTAGTTGATATCATCAGCATGGACACGAACATTGACAAAACGGAAGCGGAAACTTACATAGTTCAATGGAGTGGCGGGAGGAATGTATAATACACTGCCGAAGATAACGGGTGCGCTCAAAAATCGTGCGTTTGAACGAGGGAAGATGCGGGCCAGCGCATAGAAGAGGAAAGGGCAGAGTGCGCCAACGATCCAGAAATACTGTAGGCTAGAGTAGAGTGCAGTGCCAGAGAACATACGTGCAGGGCCGATGACACCCCAGATCACCGATGCACCAAAGAAGACTCGTCCTTGGGGGCAGGTGAATCGGTTGGATTGATGTGGCTGACAGATATCGGCAATGTTATCCAAGGCCCAGATCTGGACGCAGAGTTGAACCATACACGACCACATTGTAGCAACAAGCTGTCCCCAGAACAGTGATCGCGGGGGAACTTTCATGTAATGACCGAGCTTTAGATCCTGGACGAAAGAAAGGGCTTGAACCATGGTGATGTAGCCATAAGTCTTGAACAACATCATTGCAAGTGGCCTCCCGGGAAGCATGTAGCCGATGATGTATTCAGTGAAAACGTTCAACCCCAGCTGGATATTTGTTGTCGCTTGAACCACGCCGATGGGGATAGTCATGACTAGCGAGATGAAAAGAGCAAGCAGTAATGCCCACCAGGTGAGGTGGGTAGGCCATGCAAGAGAGGTAACAAGGCAAAGAGCAACGCAAACTGCAAGTAGGGTGATGTACCACCACCATGGGGCATTCTTATATTTCCTCATCATACGGGTGTGAACATCATCAAGATCGCCACGGCTGTCCCTGATAACTGTCCATATATGCTTTCCGTGAAACAGGGCAGTGTGCGTGACAACAGCCGCAATGGAGGCGAATGATAATCCATAAGTCAAGGCGAAAGTTGTAGACAGGAAAAGGGGGGAATATGCCTAGTCTTGAGTTAGATCAGACATCTTAGATAGAGGCAGGATAGTCTAACCTTGTATTTCTCCTCGTCGAGAGTGAACTCAGGAGTCAATATTTTGGAGACATTATATGGTTTTGCCATGTTGTCGTAGGTGGTTGAATCACTGATAGGGAGGTATTGAGCATACCAGTGGTTTGAGTAGTGTAGTCCACAAGTAACAAATATGAACAAGCCAATTGTTCCAATAAGAGTGTTTCCGATCGCATGCCAAGGGGCAATTAGAGGACTTTGGATATAACCTGCGGGAGTAAATTAATTGACATTCAATCGAAAATTGAAGGCCGGTGTGAACACGTACCGGTTACCTGAGTCCAGTCGAAGGTAATAGGGATAAGCGAAAGGCCGGTCCAGCCGCCAAATAACTGGTTGAGAATAACGTTCTTCGGTTTTATAAATGTAACAATAGCGAAAACACTCAAGCATGGCGCGATGACCCCCGGGAACCAGTACCAGAAGAAAGAGCCAAGAAAAACGTAAAGGAAATAACGATAACGACCAATCTTCCAACCATTGGTTTCGGCGGGATTGGTTGCTGATTTGTCGTGTAGGGTATAAATGAACGTAGCGCTCACTAAGTCCTGTGGCCAGATCATAGAAGCTGGAAAGGGTCAATGCTAGGTTCAACCGTGAGAGTATAGAAGGTAAAAATCACATACCTGGCTCAACTAAGACCTTGCGAACAATACCAGCTATTCCGAAACCAACGATCTGAGTGCTAAGAGCGAGGCATACATAGAATCCCCAGCCTAGCGAAATGCCACATGTTAGTTCTTGATACCACTTTTACAAGAGGATAAAAGTACTAACCGTAGTCAGTATGGTAGAAGGCCTTCAGTGCCTGGATAGTATCAGTGAAATATGCGACACCATTACCAAATGATGCATTGGCCATGACAACAATCAAGACATGTTCCTTGACGTTGAATGGACCTGGGTTAGTCGTCCATTTCATCCCAAAGGTGTTGAAAGTCCTTGCCGGTATGATCTTCGCCCAAGCAACACCGATAGGGTACGAAACCAGGAGAGCGACAACCGATGTGATGATAATTGCAGGAGCACGAAGGGAAAACAAACTGTTGAGACCAGAACCGATAGTTGTCAAAAACATCCCGATAACCCACGCACGAACTGTACTCGCAGGGAGGTCTTCGTCATAGTTTCGCACTGCAGCTCTAACCTTTGAGCAATGTTAGTTTAAAGTAAAGGATTATGGGAGCTGGCATGATAATGGCATACCTCTGGATAAGGTGAGTTATCAATAACCCTGTCGATGACTTTGCTCTGTGCATTGGAGTCGTTCAATGCGGCGGCTGTCGCAATCTCATCAAGAGTATCGTCCCCGAGGTTAGGGTCCCATTTGTGGGTGCGACGGTACAGATCCAACCTCTTGTTTGCTTCAACATCAGAAATTTCAGTTGCCGTGGTCTTTGCAGTCTCTTTCTCCCCAGAGGATGTGGTTATCGCTTGCTCAATGGGTTCGCCAATAGTATCGTCTGGGGTAGAGGCTTTCCCCCTAAGGAAGGGAATGTTTAAAGGCATCCTTGGGAAACAAATTGTTCACCCTAAGTGTCCACAAGGAAGGGGGTGTAGCAAGACTATTGCAAAAGGGTTGAAGACAAAGATGCTGAGCGCTCCGTTCAATCCAGGGGAGGATACTTGACTATCATATACCCGGGTAGAAAAGGAAAGCCGTTCTTCCTACTACCAGGGTCATTCTGGTATTAACCATTGCACTTTGATATTACCCTGATCCTGCTTTGGATGTTATCTATGGCTCTAGGAGAGACCTAACCAACACAAATAAGGGCAGTGTAGTATTAAAGGCGGGGTCATAGATCCTGGGATATTGGTTCCAAAGAGGATCAAATTTGAAGAAACCCTGCTGGCCATCATGTCCGTTCTCGTGTCTGAACCCCCAGTCTCGTAGTCTCCTAAATGTGCTCTTCAGTCCATAACAGGGGGTGTTGGTCCGCGGAGGATATCTTAAGAAAAAGCATGTATGCGTTTTTTGTCCCACAAAGTATGATAAGAGAGGCGGGTAGAGGTAGCTAATCAGGAAGAATTCACTTCCCCGTAATCAAATATTGCGCAGATATTTGGTCATCCCCGATCACCCAGTATCGATAACCCAGAGCTTGCAGGCGTGTACACAGGTATGCACCATGGCCCAGCAGCGAGTTTTCTGTAGCCCTCAGATCAGATAAACGAAGTAAGCTGTTGTCACTTGCTATGTCGGTTACACATGGGCAGTGAAATTTGGTGCTGCGCTATGTCTGAGCTCTGTGTCCTCTAATAAGGCCTGAGGCAACACAATGGGGACCAGGAGATTAATCCCTGAAGGTTATTTCCCCAGATCCGCAAGGATGCACTTTGGACCTTTGGTGCGGTCACCCGACAACTTAAACGGCCGAATAAGGAGGAGACAGCAACAACCCCTGGTCGCCTCAGGCTCTTGTACAGGCAAGGCGAAAACCAGGGCTAGCGTCAGATGCCGAAGCTTTCTAGAAACCCTGCTTTTTTGTTAGTAATGAGTATAAGAGTTGTACATACATAAGTTGGGTGGTCTTTTTGGTCGATGTAATACCTGTATTTAACAAAAGGATTCTCTGTTCTCTTTAGCGTTATCCAACTGGTGAATGTTTGCCATCGTTTCAGCATCTGGTCAGGAGTATCGCTGTTGTCTTTTGCCGAAACCATGGAAGATTCCTTAATGGGCGAGCAGCTTTAGCGAAAATGCTATTGACAGCCATAAAGTAACAATCCATGTGAGTTAGTAGAAGGTTTCACAACGCGATATCTCATATGGATGAGATTGATCTAGGGCATCGGGATTTTGCGCCACTTCAAATGCAGCAAGCCGGTCCAACGCTCGGGGGTTCCCACAGGCTGGCTCGATATCCCAACGCCAATAGTCCATTGGACCAATTGGTGGGTGGAATGGAGAATGGAAAAACTGGGATACATACCCGGCATATCAATTTGTATCTAAATGTTGTACAATTCGCGAAAGATGTTAGCTATACCCAGTTGAATGTAGTCACCGAAGGTCACGATGGATACATTCGCCCTCCAGGACGGAGTAGGGAGATGTCAAGAGCGGACACAACACCGATGATCCCTGGAGGTAGTCGACGTCTGATGCCTTTCGCCGCATACAGGAGGTGATACCATGGAGTTACCCCCATAGATTCATGCACCCCCCAGACGTACCCTGTGAGAACGGACAGGGCCTTGTCAATCCGGCCAATATTCGCCGCGCACTAGGTAATTATATGAAAGGTGTGGCTCTTAGATATATGTTCAATTATTCCGTAACCCCAGCACTACTAGCCACCTTCGCGTGACATGCGCTGTCAATGCGCATAGCGTTCAACCAACGAGGGGTTTTGGAAGTGTCAACATTTTGGGGGTGACCCTAGTTATGTACTCCGTACATGCGGGATCTTCGGTATCTAGGCCAATAGCCTAACATTTTCGCATCTGGACGACTGGATTTGCCTGCGTTTGTGTGCCGGGGAACCACAGAACCGGCCATTTTGTACCCCTGGCCTCGCAGCCAACCTTTTACTTGGGCAAAGAAGCAAGCTAAGACATCTTTAGCGCAAGGTTTTGTTCAAGGATCCTTTGGTTAATTTCACATGCAGCTCTGCTTCCTGATAACAGACGCAGATATCATGCGCTAAGAGCAAAGACAGATTCTATCGCTGCACCGGGTAGTTTAGTTAGTTCGCTCGGTGGCCAACTGCTTGCGTGGTTATCATTCGTAATGATATGCTGGAACGACCGTCGTCCCCTGGTCCGAGGAGCATCCATCATGCTGACCTGGCCCCCTCCTCCAGCAATCGCCATCGACCAGGGGGGCTAAGCACCTCATCTTGAGTCCACCAACCGTGCCGTGTTGCTTATCCCGCTCAAGCGTTTGGATGTTCGTTTAATCTTGGTTGAAGCAAAAAGAAACGGAAAAAAAAACGAAAAAGAGGCGTAAGGTTTACACGTGATCCAGGCTTAGTAACTTTCTTAGTCATCATCTCGTCTCGTACGGAGTAATTTTTCTCTTACTGGAAGCTCGAGATGCGACCTGGAGGAAGCAAAAGCAACGGACAAGCAGACACGGCCGGAGAGATACGTATCTGGGAGCCCATGTCCGGAGTTCAGACGCTGCGGTACACACATGCTACCCCTAACACTGGACTAGATTAACGATTAGGACGCCTTGCGATGGGAAGAAAGCGGAAACATGACGATGGTGCTTCATCAGGCGACGCGCAGCCAGACGGCTCAGATGTAACTGCTGCCACCGATCATGACGGTAAAGACCTTTGCCTAGCGGATACGCTATCCCTTCCTCGCGACGGTAGCGGACCTCAAGAACCAGCCTTGCCCAGGGATACTTCCGGTGGGGAGGGAAAGAACCAGACGGGGTGCCAGGTGGCTGACCAGACGTCGACGAAGAAGCGAAAACGAATAGGGAACGAGAAAACAAAATATCCGACGTTGACGTATGCAATGGGTGGTAGGCAGTCGTCCATCAAGATTTCAGATTTACAGGGACTGTTACTCTACTGTCTCGCAGACGCAGTTGCGCCGCAATGGATATCAGTAAAGCACTCAGGCCATGTAAGAAAAGTTGTTGTTCTTATGGTCCCAGGTCTGGAGCTGGGGATGTTCGACGGGTCGATCCCGTTAGCCAAGGGGACAGAAACCCCCAGCCTTGGTGCAACTGCTGCCGCCGGTGACAGTTGCCAATCTGGGGATGATGCTCAGAAATCCAGCGAGTTTGAACGCTGGAAGCGTGGGGTATCCCCCATAAGTGAGGAAGCTTCCCATCAATTTGCTCCCAGAGCCATCCATAAAGATAAGCTGCCAGAGGTTTTGTCGCCTCTTGCAGACATGTTTCCACATGTCTGGCCAATTAAATCCCCTGGGGACTCAAAATACAACAAGGTTCACTCGCCCCTTCAGGCAATCTTGCGGTCTTCCTTGCCTAAATCCAAGGAAAATAATCACAATAACAATAAAAAGACTAAGGGTCCAGCAAATTGGGCATCTCAGCGAACCCCAATTACTACCTTTTTGAGCACTTTGGACAATTTAATTGAACATGAATATCCTCTACACCCTGCACTCTTCAGTTCCGCTGAGGAAAGGGATAAAAATGCTCGACTGCGCGCTCTTAATGGACAATCTACTGAACACGGATGGGTGGATACCCACGTTAATGATTTTGCCGAAGGTGCTGTGCCTGATCGTGATATAGCAGGAGGCAGTGTAACCGCTGGCCGTGATATTTTTGCTCTTGACTGTGAAATGTGCATCACTGAAGGTGGTAAATCTGAGCTCACCAGAATTAGCCTTTTGTCATGGGACGGTGAACGAATTTTAGATGAATTCGTTAAACCAGAAACCCCCATAATAGATTATTTAACCCGTTTCTCTGGTGTTACTAAAGAAAACCTCGATCCAGTCACTACGACTTTACCCGACATACAACGGAAATTACTTGAAATCTTGACTCCTCGCTCGATACTAATTGGACATTCTCTCAACTCCGACCTCAATGCCCTAAAACTAACACACCCGTTCATTGTCGATACTGCTTCTATATATCCACATCCACGAGGGCCACCTTTGAAGCCAAGTCTCAAATGGTTATGCCAGAGGTACCTGGGAAGAGAAATCCAAAATGGAATGGCTGGCCATGATCCGGTAGAAGATGCTAAGGCAGTATTGGATCTTGTGAAGCAGAAATGCGAAAAGGGCGAATCATGGGGCACTAATGAAGCCTCCACCGAGAGTATCTTTCAACGCCTTGCCAGGGCTTCACGGCCCATAAAATCCTCCGGCCCTGTCACACAGGGAGGACGAACAGGAGCAGTGGTCGACTGGGGCAGCCCGGAACGTGGCTTTGGTGCCCAGGCCAGTATTTCTCTAGGCTGTGCCAATGACGAAGAAGTAGTTAAATCAACTAAGATTGCTGTCAGCGGAGATCCGACTGGCGAAGTAGTTTCCGGAGGCGGTGTTGATTTTACTTGGGCACGACTTCGCAATCTAGAGATCTCCCGGGGATGGTGCAACCGGATCCCTGGTGCAGGCCACGATAATCAGTCAATCGATATATCGAACCAGGATATTATCAGCCCGGCAAATCCGGAGGAGCTTGGGCGGGCTGTCTCCAAAACCGTTTCTTATATAAAGGAGATATGGGAAGATTTACCCCCATGCACGCTTTTCATTATATATTCAGGCACCGGTGACCCTCGAGAGGTAACTCGACTCCAAGCTGTGCGCAGAACTTACAACGAGGAGTTCCGAAACAGAAAGCCTTGGGATGAACTCACTGTGAAATGGACGGATACAGAAGAACAGGCACTGAAACGCGCCTGTCAAACGGCAAGGGAAGGGTGTGGGCTTATGGCTGTAAAGTAGGCTCCTGTTAGAGTACCATACTTGTACATTTTGTATAGCAACATGACCTGGATACACATGAATACCTCCATCTCTAGATGTCGTAGTTGTCCCTTCTTAAGCAGATCGTTCGCACTGTTGTGCTTATGTAATTAATCATGATGCGTCGCGTCTTCGTTTTGGAGCATCGAAGTCTCAACCGACAAGCATATAAATATTTTTGATAATATTCTAATGATTTGCTGACGAGGAGAGTTTTTCGTAAACAAATCTCGAATCAATAGTTTGGATAGAAACTCCTATTTCGTACAAAGAGATTCTTGAAGCTGGGGAGAAAACCGGGATGGCTAAGGTCCAGGTGCCTCCTGTGCTGGGTCATTCAGGAGGGAGAGAGCGTGAGGAGATATCAGGCTCATCGAAAGATAACATTTACAAAACTATGGCGGTTATATCCACAGCTATAAATGAGTTATCTCGCACAATCCATCAGATCAGCGAACAATTGAACGGGTTTCCTACAGCGGGCACAGGAAACCCGGGTCTCCCAAAGTCAAGCAATCATGTTGACCATTTTGAGATTTTCGCCATTGCCATGAAGGAAGTGCAGTCAAAGTCGTCTAGAATTGAACAATTGGAACAGGAGAACCGAGTGTTAAGAGACAGATTGGGTAACCGTGAAAGAGCCGGGGAAAGGAGCGAAAGGATCTCTCCAGTTGCATGCCAACAGGCTGTGAATCTGAATGAACATGGGGAGAGATTTGTGCCCAGTGATGCTCCCAACTCAAACGGGAAAAGGTCCTTGATAGCCCTTCCTAGTGAGCTCAATGTTCATGAAAATAACTGCATGATTCCAGCGTCTACAAATGCTACAAACGGGGAAGCGGATCCGTCACCAAATCTCAGCAAAGACATGGGTCTTGATGACCCAATTGCTGAAATCGAGGAGATTCCTGAGTCCTCAAATGGACAGATCAATGGCGATATTTTATCTCAAGATGGTCGTCCTGCTGTTAATCATGAGACTACATTATCCGAACAAGCTGCTGAAAAGCCGACGACACGCCAGAATCCGGCTAGACGTCAACGGGCTGTGAGACAAGAATCAGTACTTGAGCAGGCTACTAGGAATGAAACTCGCTCCACCAGGGCTCGGCTAGTTTCGCAGAATGTGCGTTCTAAGAAGGCTGAAGGTCGCGTGTCTTTAAGGAAGGACAAACCTACTGGTTCTGGAGATGAGGAGGAGGACTCTACCGAACTCGAAGACAGAGAAGGCGCTGCTGTTGCGCGTAATGAAACCACCGAAGACAGGAGGACATCACCCCTTGTTGCCTCAGAACCTGGCTTCCGTCCAGCCCGTCAATTGATAAAGCGACGGCGGGGTCGGCCGAAGGTCGCCGCCTGTGAGCATCCGCAGATTGCAACCGTCACTTCTAGCAGCCCGGCTCCTAGCGCTGGGAAACCAGGCGTTTCCAACAGCAATATAAAGATCTCGGAAAATACAAAAGATGCCCTGGATGCAAAAAAAGCGGAGGAAGAAGCGGAAAAGAGACGAAAGGCCGAAATTGCCGCTCGGGAGCTTTTGGTGCAAGCCGCAATGCAGCGAGAGGAGACGTATATGCTGTAACTTGGTTACCCGATTATAATATTGAGCAGAGGCGTTCTATATATGTCAGAGCAAGAAAAAGGGTTGATGTTCGCCGACAGATAGAAAGCGGCTCTGGTGTTTCCCTCGGCTGTTTGGCGGGTGGGGTTGGCTCCCGCCGGCTCTGCTAACGGTCGATGAGTAACAATGACAATGACAATACGAGAATTTAAAAGTGATATCTTCTGTACCAACTCAGCGTGAAGGATGAACAGAGGACTGAGAGCAGCCAGACAATTGTGCAAGTCACGATCAAATCGTCCATATTACGCTAGAATCTCGCTGGTTGTGCAGAGACCGCAGAACCGTCACATATCTGACCTACTAACCATGCAGGCTGTCAACGCATGGCAGGCCCCAGGCGAGGCGGCCTTCGACTTTCGCAGTTGGTTGGCCCAATTTTCTCAAATCAAGACTTAACGCTGAATTGAAATAGGCGATGTCATGACGAGGCCGACCGTTTCTATGCTGGAGGCTATTACAAACTCGTCTCTGGGCGACGATGTGCTACAGGAAGATGCCGTGACTTGCTCGCTGGAGAAGTCAGTTGCCGAGTTGGCGAATCATGAGAGCGCCCTGCTGGTAATGTCTGGAACCATGGGGAACCAGGTAGCCATCCGAACTCACCTGACGCAGCCGCCGTACGCAGTGCTGTGTGACCACCGCGGTCACATCATCAACTATGAAGGAGGTGGTGTGTCGACCTGGACTGGAGCATATGTCAAAGGTATTATACCCAAAAACGGAAGATACCTCACTCTAGAAGATATCAAGCCCCATGCTGTTCTGGGTAACGATATCCATGGCTGCCCAACACGGGTGATCAGCCTTGAAAATACTCTGGATGGCATGATAATGCCGCTTGATGAGATGAAACGTATTTCTGCATGGGCACACGAAAACGGCCTGAAGGTTCATCTTGATGGAGCCAGGCTATGGGAAGCTGTTGTTGCTGGGGCAGGGAGCCTCTCTGACTTCACTTCTCTAGTAGATAGTGTCAGCCTTTGCTTCTCGAAGGGCCTTGGTGCTCCGATAGGGAGTGTCCTCACCGGACCCAAGGAGTTCATTCAAAAGGCTCGCTGGTTCAGGAAGACGATTGGCGGAGGGACGAGGCAGTCCGGAGTCATCGCCGCCGCGGCACAGGTTGCCCTCAACGAAACTTTTGGCAGCGGCCCAAATGGTAAAGGCGGAAAACTGCTTGTCAGCCACGAGATGGCTAGAAAGATTGCAAAGCTATGGACCGATAAGTGCGGAAAGCTCAAAAATCCAGTGGAGACCAACATGGTGTGGCTAGATCTTGAGGCGTGCAACTTGTCGAATGAAGACTGGATAGAAATCGGTCGACAACATGGTTTGAAATTTTTGGGCGGTCGACTGGTGGTGCACTACCGTAAGTATTATATCCACCCCAGTTTTTTAATGACATGGAAGTAATTAACGTGTAACACAGAAATAAGCGAGGAGGCTATTACGAAGTTGGACAAGGCTATGGATGCTGCAATCAGTGGTACCTTCACCCCAGTCGCTAAGAGCGAGAAGAATGGACAATATTGCGGTCAGGCATGAGATGTACCCATGTATAATTCCACCTAAATAGTCAGCCGAGTTATTTGTTTGGCCATTTGAAAAATAGTGGATTCACAGTGGCCCTAAGTGTATATTATTATCGTTATAAGTACATGGGATTTCCTTGTGACTTATATATTATGTCAAATATTCGACATTGCGAAAGGCTATACACTATAGACCATGAATTATTGCATGAGATGGTGGACTTTGGCGGATTGTCAAAGCAAGCACGTCATCCTATCCGACGTTGTAATAGCAGCTCTTCTCTAAGCTAGTCAAATCACGCATCTTGCTCAGGCTCTCTCTTAGGCACCACACAGTCTTTTTGGAACTTATCAACTCCCAACCACAAGAGATCAGGACGACTATAGTGTCCAACCACGTCAATGAAGCCTTTGTTCATAACAACTCTCGCCATGTCCAAGTCGGCATACACAATACCCTCGGCGGCGGGATTTCCGTCAGCCAATGGCTTCGTCAGCCTACGGCCATCTGGGGCAATTGCAGCACTGTGTCCGCCGCCTGGCTCCTGGAAGAGAAGGCCACCCTTCGTCTTCATGGTCTCGATTCCCTCTTCGTTGCATACGGCTGTGCAGTGCAAGACGTAAGTGCTACCCTCAATAGCATACGTTTGGCTAAGATTCTGGCATCCTTCAGTACTCATACTCCATAATGCCGGAGCCTCAACGCCAGGGTGGGGGTCCAGCGGCGGCCACATTGCGATATGGATCTCTTCCTTTTGTGAATATGTGTGATACTTGAGTAGAGGTAGTGCATGCTCCCAGCATGCCAAAGTTCCGACCTTGACAACACCAATATCACCGCCGAAATCAACGTCTGCAACGTTGGTGAGGTCTGAGCCAGAGCCGTCTCCGAAAACGGTACGTTCCATGTGAGTGGGCTTAAGTTTTCGGCGATGCATCAGAAGTTCGCCTTTTGGAGAGATAATTGCCTGGGCGATGTAGACGCTGTGAGTGTCGATGGCTTCAACGAAACCAAGTACAACTGCAATATTATTGGCCTTTGCTGCCGATTTGATTTTATTCATCTCGGCGGACTGGACAGCTAGCGAATTTTGTACATATTTCGTGTTGATGATCGGATCGACTGGCCGTTGCCTGTAACCGGGGTATAGTTAGCAGTCAAGTTATATTTTTCATGTAATATTCATAGAGTAACCGACCAAATCCATCCTGGATAACCTGGAATCCAGCACTCAGGGAAAGCGACAAGCCTTGCTCCCCCTTTTGCTGCCTCAGTAATGAGATTGACGGTTTTCTCAACACTACCAGCCAGGTCCAGCCACTTGGGCTGAGCCTGGGTGATAGCTACTTTCAAAATAGGGCCGGACATATTGCAATTGCTGTTGATATTGCTCTGATGGATGGATGAAGTTGGGGGATGAGATGTTGAAGAATGAAAGCGGGGATTACAATCTTGGCCAGCCACACGTCAAAGCACCTGTGGCATCTACCAATCAGTTGCACAACAGCAGGGTAAATGCTTGGTATACATATCCCTCTCTGAATATATGCAGGGGCGTGGAATAACCCTGCTTTGTCGCCCATGTTCAATGGACAAGTCCTCCGTATGGGTTCTCTTTGTGCATGTATAGTAACCATCCTTCAAATCGCTCGAGTTGGGAGAGGGGTATGTCAGTGATTATCTGGGGACAGAAGTTCGCAGGCGCCCTTTCTAGAGCCTGATTTGAGAAGAGAAGAGGTAGCTGCAAATTAGCAGAGTGTCAGGAACATGGCCAGCTATCACGGTTGCCTAACCATGCAGGCGATTTCCATATGAAAAACCGATACAAAATACCCGTGACATATGGGTGCATACCTGCCCGCACTAAGATACGGATAAAACGTTAAGTTAAAGCATAAAGCAGCTAGAGTGTCATTATAGCAAGCCCCGTGGTCCGCAGGCATAATGCAAACCAGTGTAAGGCTTGAGTCATCTCAAATACCGCCAGCCTTGGCCAGCTGTCAGATGTAAATGCGTTGACGATGATTCGAAGATGGGATGGAAAAAGGCCCGTGCGAACCATTTGCCCCACATGCGTAATTAAGCAGTGTCATGTGACTGGCAGGCGGAAAGTCTAACCTATAAACGTTAGCCCCAGGCACCGAGCTGGTGGAACCCAATTAGGCTAGCCGCCGCGTTTTCTGCCACTCCGACGTGTTTTTCCGCTCTCCGCAACTCGAGGAAAAACATCGAAAGTTTTGGTTTAAACTGATATTTTGAAACAAATTCCGGGGTTCGAGATGGCGTTGTTTCTTCAGCCTCTCGCTCCAACCTCTTGAGACCTTGTATATTGCTTGCCGTTCAGCGTTCCTTTGTTTGTTGCTGTATCGCATGTGAGTCATCAATGCTCCAAAATTGTGTCCGCCGTGCGAACCACTAGGGTGGCGAATGACCAAGACAGGCTACACATTACATGGATCTCTGTCACTTACCAAATATTCTGTTTACGGTTCGCTAATCAGTCTAAAAGTATTCATTGCTATAGTTACCAGCCTTTTCAGCCTTGCCTACGTTGGACTTGTCTGCCTACTGTTGCCTTGTATCCTCATACTTACTAAGAGCGCTTGCGACGATTTACTCGTCATTCCATCTACCCACCTACACTTTGAGCTTCCGGACGGCACTATTCCAAGGTCGCGCGGGATTTCCCGGACGTGATCACCCAAAAGGATATAACAGACAACTCAGTGGTGAGGTCACGAGGCTGCAGCTTCTACTCAAGACTTATCCCGGTTCCTGTTGTGTGTGCCAGACCAGGCAGAAAGGGATCAAACTCCATAATTATATGAATTTCCCTCTCGTTCGGACTATAAAAAGGGTTAGTTTCCCCAGAATCTTGTCGTTTGATATTAGAGAATCTACCTTTCTTCGACAATATTGTCTTCATTGTTGGGAACAATGGGAACAAGATAGCGTCATCATAAATATTTCTTTGTACTCTGCTTTGCTATCGTATATCATTTGAACTGACGGTTCGTTTGAAATTGCACAGTAAACTAGGCGAAACTCCAAGCGGGTATGCCTTAGAGATTGTGCTTCCGAGGATTCGTAAACCTACCCCCCACGCCACCCACGACTGCTGCGGTACAACGGTTTGGTGATCCACTTATTCCCTTAAAACAGGCTAATTGAGACAAGTACCTTAAACAACACGTTGTTTGTGGATTGGGCCCAGTATTCCGGAGAACCAGCTCTGAATATATTCCCCATGGATGAAGAAACTCAGCCTTCGACTCAGCCCTACGCAGACCCTCGCCGTAAGGGTGTTAACAATTCCGGACTGAGCCAGCAAGATGTAGCGGATATTATTTGCATCCTGCATCCCAACTCACCTGCCGCACACAAATCAGCCTCCATCACCGCAGATCGTAACCCACAGCATATTTTGCAGCGAGATGAGTTTGACAGTGACCTCAATGCCTGTGAATCAACATATGACATTGCATTACGGTTTTCCTCACCCGTGAAAGATCAGAGTATGGGTTTCTGCTTTGGTCGAAGTTCTTCACGGAGCGATATCATATTTTCCCCTGATGACAGGGTATCAAATACTCATTTTCGCATATACTTGAAGACTGACGGTATCCTCATGCTCCAAGACACATCTACCAATGGGACCATTGTGGATGCAAAGGCCATCCGGAGAGATGGCAAAGATAACAACCCGACAACTCAAATGCTTATGTCTGGCTCGGTCATTCACGTCTCTGGCAGTGACTTAGCCTCTGCTATAAAGTTTGTCGTCAGGATACCCGCTCGAGACGAACTCCATGCACAATACACTAGGAACCTCACCTGGTATCTTAACCGGATTCGCCAACTCAATACAAAAGCGGGTGATGCTGGGCGTGGAGAGATGGCAGCTCCTGGAATTGTTATTGCTCACACTAACCATTCTCACGGAATGCATTGGAATGGTGGAGCTAAGTATAATGTGACTGGGCAGATTGGAAAGGGCGCGTTCGCGACCGTCTATAAATTGGCAACCAAGAACGATGGTGCTCTATTCGCTTGCAAAGAACTGGATAAACGGCGCCTCATGAAGAACAACGCTTTGGACCATAAAGTTGACAGTGAAATGAGAATCATGAAAGACTTGGATCACGTATGGCACCTCCCCTTCACCAGAAGTTGAATTCCAATGAATTACTAACATATCTTATTATAGCCTAATATTGTACGCTTCCATGATTACTTCGACTTTAATAACCGCTGGATCTACATTATTATGGAGTATATTGGATGTGGAGAGCTTTCGAACTACGTCCAAAGCGCCGGGCTTTTACCTGAGGATCAAGTGCAGACTATTTCCCGGCAGCTTCTCCATGCGTTACACTATCTCCATGCCCGGAAAATAACGCACCGTGATATAAAACCGGATAATATTCTCATTTCTTCTTATGACCCTTTCATCATTAAATTATCGGACTTTGGCCTATCCAAGGTCTCGCAGGAAGAAACTTTGCTGAAAACCTTTTGCGGAACGCTCCTTTATTGTGCACCAGAAGTATACCCGGAATATGATACTTATAAACATCACCTTCCTCGGAAAAGGCGTCGACCGGGCGACCCGTATGTATTTCACTCAGTCATAAAAAAATTGATGCTAAAGGCTGACTTTCTTTCTACAGTTTACCAAGAACATCACCGTACGACCAGTCTGTTGACATGTGGTCGTTTGGAGCTGTGGCTTTCCACATTCTTTCCGGGCACCCACCATTCATGGGCCGTGGAGACGACAGGGGAGCCCAGATGTTACGAAATATAATGACTACAGACGCAGATTATACATTGCTAGAAAATGTTGGAGCATCGCCAGAAGCAATCGATTTTATATCCAGGCTGCTTAACCGCGACCCCAAGGCTCGACCAAAAGAGCCAGAATGCTTTCAACACCCATGGATTGCCGAAGTTCCGGATGAATTTGAATACGAAGAAATTGGAGAACCCGCTCAAACCGGCCCTCTCACTGGACTGGTTGCTGTACCAGAAGTAAGTGAGGAAGAAGACCAAGATGCTTCAGGGCCCGAGCTTGATGATATTGCTGATATAATGTTGGCGCACGCACGAAGACGGGAAAAAGCAGCTGAGGAAAGAGAGCTATCATCATCTGACCAGAATGCCAACGCGAAGAAGCCCCGTGTAACATTAGCACAGGATGTTGAAGAGCAGTACGTCCAGGCTCCGGATGATGTCCGATATCCTTCCCTCCCACAGTTTTCAAGCTATGGATTTGAAGCCAAAGCTGAAGTGAAATCTTCACCCAATGGGCCACGTCTCTTTGGAGAGATCACTCCATCTCTTCTCAAAAGCTCTGGAGTGTTTGGTGGGGATTATCCTGAGGAGATGGATATTGCGGAACTCAACGAAGATGACGACAATGACTCTACTGACCAGTACGTGATATCGAATGAGGGCTCAAGCTTGAGCAAAGATATCTTTGCGGACGTAGGCCAGCCACACCCACCACTTACAATGAGGCCACCACCGCCACCACTAAAAGCATCGGATCCAAGTTTAATGGGGGCTGAGTCGTTAGTGGGCCACCTGCACATGCATTCTGCTGGCCAGAAGGGCATGGCCACCGGTGCTGCGCGGAGCGAGAATGCTGATGATACCGGGTATCCGTTGGACGGGGATTCCCAGAATAGCAAAAGATATGCCTCTTCCAATGGCACAGCTAAGGGAAACTGGACTGGAGACAAAGACCAGACTGGCACAGGGCCTTTTACATCAACAAATAAATCTTCACCGCCGGGTGATAGGCTTACATCTTATAGATCAGTAGCGAGAGACATCAGCAGCAGTGACGAAACGGACAAACCGCATAGCCCTACTGCAAGTGAAAATCTGGGTAATGAGGATAAGATCCCGAATGAACTTGCCTGTACCATTGACGAACGCACAGGACTTGAAGTACCGTCCCAATCTCAACCAAATCAGGGCAATAACACAGACGTTAAAGAGAACGGGAAAGAAAACGGATTTGCCAAGCCTGCTACCATCTTAGGAAAACTCACGCCTCTGCCTGGATCTATTCTTGACCAGCCAATCCGACTAGAGTCACGAATGACATCTTGGGGCCGAGGAACACAAGCAACCATCCGTCATCCTGACTCTATGGACTTTCGCATCCCCTCTTATGCTCTTGAATTGACCTTTTGGGCACCGTCGATTGAAGCCCGAATCTCTGCCGGGGAGGATTGGTTACAGATGGACGACGTTGTGACGCTAATATCCACAAAGACCAGCCAATGTATATGGGTCAATGACGTCGAGCTACGTAAGGAATCCCCGAGCAAGGACGCATTCTTGTTTGGAAGGATTTATACTGGCGACATTATCACAGTGTACAGAAACAAGGACCAGTTTTTGCGTTTCCGATGCGAATTATACCATGGAAAGAGTAGGCTAGAAAGGCCTGCAGACGAGAAACGGTTCTTAATAGAAGAGTCGCCAAAGTCCCACTACAATGTTCGAACAGAAGGCATCCCGGCATCTAAATCAGAGCCGTCACCTACTGAGACATCGGCCTGAAGCAGCTTCCCTCTATCAGGGTGGCCGTTACAGACAAATAAGTGTATGTGAGCGGCCATCTGGAAGATTTCTTTTCCCATCTAATGTCTCTACTCCATGTTTACCCCAGTCAGCTATATGTTTTATGTGTTTTTTTCCTACCATAATCCCCGGTCCATTTATCCAATAATTCCCATCACCCTACACGTAAAGCACCTTGACAATTATCCCCACACAAATATAAGGACGCCTAAGAAGTCAAATAAATAAATAAATGAATATACCAGACACTATTTAGCGATATAAATTATGGATTTATGGCTTCTGTAGAGATCTACATCTTTCGCTAGTAGTTATGCACTAAATAAATCACAGTCAACGTCAGGCCAACAAGAACTTTCTTTCAACTACATCCAACATTTAACCAGCGACTCGCAATCTCTGACAACCGTCAATCATATATTACATGGGTCATGCACCGCTTGAGGCCTAAAGTTCAGCGAAATCCATGAGACAAGTGTGAAAATGAGGCGACTTGAGGGATTGAAAACAAGTGGGCAGACATGCAAGCAATCTTCAACTATGATACGCAGAGTGCTGTGCCACTGGTTTGAAGTGTATCGTTGGTATCGCTCATCCCTGTGTTGGGCGAGGACCTTTGGTTGAACAACACCAGACATCCCGTCGACGGGATACGAGAAATGTGACATAACCGCGTCCAACTCACAACAAGGCCTCGGAATAACGGCAAAGGGCGCAGGCAGTGTATCTAGGGCGTCGAACAAGAAGGAATTCTGGGTACAAGAGCATTTGGAGCTTCCTTATCTGCAGGCCAGCCCTGGGCTGGCTCCATCCGCAAGATTGAGGCTATAACCACGACCGACAGAGCACGGAGATAGCAGAGAGGTGTATGTGTACGATGAGCTCGCAAGCAGTAATTCCTGTGCTGGAGCTCGGAGTAGACAACTCCGGATAAGTACTCCGTATAACGAGCTTGACTAATGGACCCTAGTTGACTTGCCAACACCTCCCTGTATCTACCAAGCTTCCAGATTATTTTGCACCCCACAGTTTCCCCGTGGAGAACCAGCCGGTGATCACGAAATCGACAGGGTTGCACAAGTGACATCTGCCTATTTGCCTGCTGGGACAGGGATGCGGCTTGCTTTGGTGATGCTTGATTCGGCCCAGAGTACTTTGGCGAATCCACTCGGTTATACCATCCTTTGGAGATACGAAGCAGAAAGAGAAAACGCAGACACCACCCATCGCGTGCGGGGAGGCTAGGTAAGAAATATGAGAGTAAGGGCATCCATGAGAGGGGGCAAGATGTGGAATTCATGTCCACTTAACTACCGAGTATCCCGACGCCCTCTTGGACGGTTGATATTGAGAGACATATAATAAGAACCCAACCCTGCCCTTTTTCCCTTTAACTTATGTTTTTCACCTTGTGCTCCCTAAGTTTTAGTTGTGCGTTTTTTCCTTTCCTCGCATGAAACACAATTTGGCAGTTTAAGATGATTGTTAAATCTTTATCGCTGTTGGCATTTGCCGCAGCTACCGTTGAAGGCTGTGTGCGTGAGCGAGATGTCAGCTCGCCCGATATTTTAAAGGTTCTCTCGAAAAGAGGCAATGGACACCCTCACCTGCCGCACCTGTCGAAGTATGAGTCTATGCTGCTGAACAGTTTCGACAATACTACGGTCGACAGCTGGGCTTTCTACTACACCCATGGCATTCACATTGCTGGAACCAACCAGAGCATGGCGCAATGGACAGCGGATAAATGGACGGAATTCGGCATCCCTTCTTCGCTTGCGACGTATGACGTATATCTGAACTACCCAGTTTCAAACTCGCTGTCGCTGACTCACCCTGACGGTACGACCTGGGAAGCTTCGCTGGTGGAGGACATTCTGAAGGAAGATGATACTTCAAGTTACCCGGACCGCGTACCCACATTCCATGGTTACTCTGCTTCCGGAGATGCTAGTGCCGAGTATGTTTATGTCGGGCGTGGCCAAAAGGTTGATTTCGATAGACTCGTCCAGCTGGGCGTTGACTTGAAAGGAAAGATTGCAATTGCACGATACGGCGGTCCATTCCGGTAAGTCTTTATTTTTATTTTTTATTTTCATATTTTTGAGATTTGTATATGTTTTTGGCCATGTCTAATGCAATTGATTAACTAGAGGCCTGAAAGTCAAAAACGCACAAGATCATGGGATGGTCGGCTGCATCATCTTTACCGATCCTGCTGATGACGGTAATGTGACTATTGCAAACGGCTTGAAGGCATATCCAGACGGCCCTGCTAGAAACCCGAGCTCGGTCCAGCGTGGATCCGTTCAGTTTCTGTCAATCTACCCGGGCGACCCAACCACCCCCGGGTATCCTTCTCGGCCAGACTCACCACGCAAAGACATTGCCCCGGTGGTGCCACAGATACCGTCTATCCCCATCTCACAGCTCGACGCACAGCCCATACTCGCAGCACTTGATGGTCATGGAACCCCAGGAAAGGAAGTTAACCGCACCAGGTGGGTTGGTGCTCTTAATGCGACATATGCAACTGGTCCTGCACCTGGAGCCAAGCTTTCCATGAGCAATGTGATGCGTGACACTATTACTCCCATCTGGAACTCAATTGGCATCATTAATGGCACCGAGCAGGATGAAGTGATTATTATTGGGAACCACCGGGATGCGTGGATTATTGGAGGAGCCGGTGACCCTAACTCTGGCTCTTCGGTGATGGTCGAGCTTGCAAAGGCATTTGGAAAGCTTCAGAAGGCTGGCTGGAAGCCCAAGAGAACCATGTATGCTTGTTCCCTTGTTTTTGTTCTGACGCAATTGGTGCTAATATGACATGACATAGTGTGATGTGTTCTTGGGACGCGGAGGAGTACGGTCTCGTTGGCTCCACTGAATGGGTTGAAGAATATGTACGTTTTTTTTTCTATCTCTGCGGATAACTAAAAAGCAGCTGGTGCTGACTATGATGTAGCTGCCATGGCTCAAAGCATCGGCGGTTGCATACCTCAATGTCGACATTGCCGTCTCTGGGCCGGTCCCCGATCTGACTGCGACTCCTGAGCTGCACAAGGTGGCCCTAGAGTCTATGAAGAAGGTTATCTGGCCATACAAGGGCCGTAAGGATACTACCATGTACGATGTCTGGCAAGCTTCTAGCGGCGGCGAAGTTGGCGTCCTCGGAAGTGGCTCTGACTACACAGCTTTCCTCCACAACGGCATTGCATCGGTAAGCTGCGTCAGCCCCGGTGTGCAACGAAAAATAGTAATAATAAATGCATCTTTGACTAACGAGGCCGCATGAATGTTGTGTAGCTCGACACCGGCTCAGGCGGAGACGGTAGCACAGATCCCGTGTACCACTACCACTCGAACTATGACTCGTACCACTGGATGGCCACCTACGGCGATCCAGGCTTCCACACGCACGTTGCCATGGGCCAGTTCCTGGGCCTGCTAGGCTACCATCTAGCCAGCGACGACATCATCCCCTTTGATGTGACCAACTACGGCGTGCAGATGACCAAGTACCTGACTGTGCTGAGGAAGTACGTCGCAGCATCCAAGTTCCCTGACCTAGACGTGAGCAAGATCGAGCATGCCATCTGCGCGTTCAACGTGTCTGCCAACGCTGTCGAGAAACTGCGGAAGAGAGCTGAGCACGACCGGTACGACAAGAAGCTGCAGAAGCATCTTAACACCATCTACCGTGACTTTGGCCGTGGCTTTGTCTCGCAGGGTGGTCTGCCGGACCGTGAGTTCTATAGACACATGCTGTATGCCCCGGGACTTGACACTGGGTGAGTGATTCAGTGGCCCTCCGACTGCACCAGCACCGTATCCCTTTTGCTTCCTAGCTTGCTGACCTGGCTGTGTAGATACGCACCAACGACCTTCCCTGGCGTGTCCGAGTCCCTTGACGCTGGCAACCGGACGAGAGCCGTGGAGTTTGTCGAACGGGCGAGCAATGCCATCTACGTGGCTGCGGGTATCCTGTCGTCCTGCTACGACTGCAAGAACTTTCGCGTCCAGGAGTAGACATACATAGAACATATTAAATAGCCGGCCATAGCAATTATACACTTCTTCCTCTCTCCTTTCTTTCTTCTTTCTTCCTTCTCTCTCTCTCTCCCTCTCTCTTCTTTCTTCGTTCTCTTTACTATCCTCCTTCCCCTTTCTCAACTTCTCCTGCATGGCTTCATGTTCCTTCTTAGCCGCGCTCAAAATCCAACAAGCGACTTCGTGGTGTAGTTGGTTATCACGTGAGTCTAACACACTCAAGGCCCCCAGTTCGAGCCTGGGCGAAGTCACTCCTTTTTTTGCCCTTTTTTGTACTGAATTATATATATTTTTTGCTGCTGATAAGAGACAAAGAAGTGAGTGATGTGATTGATAGCCAGATAGAGGCCCTGCTAGTGGTGGAGAATGCGCAGAGATTGCGCGTCGAAGATCGTCACTTCGCAGCAAAATCTCTATCTGGACGGAGCATCGCAAGCCCCTTAAACCCATATCATAACATCTGCCTCATATATAAGGATATACGGGCCGTACTTGGTTAATTTTATACGGAGTCCGCAGATTCGCCGATTAATATGTGATAATAATGCAGCAGAGATAAAAGTTCGTTCTGCGTTGCTCTGATAGGAACTGATCTTCGCCATGTGTGCGTTTCTCGGGCGTTAACAAGGCGTTTCTGTCTCCTTGCTTTCCCTTAGATACGGAGCGGGCTGCGGCTGGAGAGTAAAATATACATATATGGCCCTGTCTGCTCCACTGCTGTCCTCCTGAAGATTGAAGGATTACGAGCAGCGTGAAGAGCCCTATCCCTAGCCATATCCATATCCATATCCTTTTATTTTTTTTTCCCTGAGTATTTTCAATGCGAATTTTCAGCGAGTGTACTCCGTACCACAGCAAGAGAAGAGCGTAGGCAGACAGTAACTTATAAGGCTGAAGCCTTTGGCGATCACAGTCAACCGATGCTGCATCTCATCCTGCGCCTCTGAAGCGGTCACACAGGCGGTGTTGGACGATGTTGGAAGATGTTGACGGCGTATCGAGTACTCCGTACATTACCCCAAACCCAGGGCTAAATATAAGCACATAGGGGCCGCCCCGTCTTTTGCTCTTGTTGTCGATATCTTCTTCTTCATCTTCTTCTGGCCCAGCTAAACCAAGGCTCGAGAGGCCGCTGTGGGTCAGGGGGCAAGCCAGGCGAAAGGCGAGCGCGTACGCAGGGTGAAGAATCCCCCCCTTTGCTGGATCAGGGCCCTTTCTCTGGCCTCTTCTCTCGCGCTGGTTGGTCCTGTCATTGGCTGCATCCTCGCGGTGGCGGTCCAGACGGTGCTCCCGTAGCATAGCGTAGCGTAGGGTCAAGCAGGTACTCCGTAGTAACCAGCACCCGCCAGCCAGATGTACAGCATCCGTACCAGCTGCTTAGCTCGCCGTGGTCGTCTCTTGGTAAAAGGAAAAAAGTCTTCGCTAAAAGGGCCGTCCTTGTCTTGAATTCCCTGCCTGTCGTGTATCCTCCTTGTATCCTCCTTGTCTCTTTCGTCTTCCTTTTATATCCTATCCTCCCCGTGTCTCTCGTTAAAAAGGCCGCCGGTCAAATCAAGACTTCGCTCCCTCGCCCACCGCTGCGTCTCCCCATCGTTCAGCTCGTATCGCAATCCAAGACATCCTGGCCCAGCAGCCGCAGCCCGGGAAAAAAGAAGCAGCAGCAGCAGCAGCAAGCAAGACGCCTGCAGTGACACAGGGCGACGCAGACACTCGACGAGCAGCGGTTGTTGCTGGCGGAAAAAGAAACGACTGAGCCATCTCCAACTCCTGCAACCTCGTCGACTCCCTCTTCCTCTCTCCCCTGGGCTCTCTCACAACCGCCAGACGGACAGGCGAAGGATACCCATCGTCGTCTCCCGGGATCGCTTGCGTTGTTGCCGGCGCTTCTCATCCTCCTCATCCTCCGCCGAGCGAGGGAAGGAGTAAAAAAAAGTATCTACAGGCCCAAAAAAAGGTGCGTTGTGGCTACGCTGGCTTTTCTACCACCATTCACCAACATCGCCAACTTCACCCTCTGCCAGCTGCACGATGGCCTCGTTGCTGACCCCGTCTGTATAGGCACCCGAGAGAATTGACCCTCTCGCTCCCTCTGTCTCTGTTCTCTGCGTGCTCTCAGCCCGTTCTCGTCCATGCCTGCGTCGTTCTCTTCGTCCTCTGAAAGCCCAGCCAGCAGCTCCACGCACCACCGCCGGCGCTCGTCGTCACATATCCGGCCCTTGAACCTGGCGCCCTCGTCTCTGTCCGCCAGCAAAGGTGCCAGCAAAGCCCCGGGTCTCCTGCCGGCCCATTCCCTCACCCCTATCCCGGGCACCCCCTCGGCGGCGGGCCACTCGCCCATGTCGCTGTCCAGATCTCCCTCTCCAAGGCCCGGCGGAGGTTGGTCCAGCCCAGGCCTGACCACCGTCACTGCTGGGAGCAGCGGCAGCTCCAGTCCCCGTCGTGGCTACGGCGAGCTCTCCTCCAATGGCCAGGTGTACTCGAACGGCGGCCTGGACGGTGACCACGACAGTCACAATGCCTCCTGGATGGCCGCAAAGGCCAAAAGCGACCGCGTAAAGGGGTACCCTTCCTTCTCCACAAGAAACAACGGCTTCTTCTCCAGACAGCGGAGGAAGATCTCCGCCAGCCTGCCCCGGTTCAGACTCAACTCCATGCTAGACTACGGCGAAAAGGAGAAGCTCGGAAGAGGGCGATGGTCCGGTCCAAATGGTAGTCCGCTTTTATACAGGATCAAAACACTGCTCGGCAGTCTGCTACGCCGCACGAGAATACGTCTTCTTCTATTATCCATTATATTGTTTGTTCTTTGGCTTTGCTTTTCATCTCGTACGTCCCTCCCTTTTCTCTCTCCCTTCTCTTATTGCTTTCGTGTTGTTTATATACTAACGGTGTTGCAGCTATCTACGAATCATATCGACGGTCCTCCATAGGCGGAGGAAAGAAAATAGTCTTAATTGTTGCATCTAATGTCGGTGGCGGTGTCATGGAGTGGAAGGGTGCGCGCGAGTGGGCTATCGAGAGAGACAGTCTCCGCAATAAGAAGAGATATGTCAAGAGATGGGGCTACGACCTCGAGATCGTTAACATGGTCACCAAAAAACGATACGCCCACGAGTGGAGGGAAGGCTGGGAGAAAGTCGATGTCATCCGTAGCGCACTGCGGAAATATCCCAAAGCCGAATGGTACGGTTTTACAGGTCTGCTAGTCTTGGAGAATTTGCATATAACGTCAATATAGGTTCTGGTGGCTGGACCTAATACTTCATAATGGAACCTTCCTACTCGTCGAAG